CACTTTTAGTCCTTTTACTTTTGTGGTATTGACTCTTTGGTACATGACTTTGATTTATTTCTTTTAGGGCTTGCTCAGATGATTTAAAAATAAAATGGTGTTTCAGGTTTGTGTGGTATTGAAAGCTGGGTTTCACATAGGAGTAGATGCATACTTTGTTGCTGCCATGGCATGGGTTCTTCTGATCGTGGTTCTCGGATTCTTCGTCCACGTGTTGGATAATGTAATTGATACTGTATATGTGTGCTACGCAATAGATAGAGATATGGGAGAGACGAGTAAGCGGGAGGTCCATCATGTGTATGATCGCCTCCCAATCAGTAGAAGTAGATCACCTTATGCTGCCCGAAATCCTTCGACTGCGACTGTATAAACCAACCACAACCCACTTTTAAAATGGGTTTCTGTTGTAACTTTGAATTTTGGGGGTCGTAAATGCATGATATGAATAATTTTCTGCCGGAAAGTAAGTGGGGTACTACGGACCGACTGCCCTTCGACTCTCCCTCCGTGATGTAGGACATGGACTGTTTCACAAATAAGAGTAGGTAGACTCAGTAGAGGACCATGCTTATTGTTTATGACACAGGTAGGTCTCCATGTTTAGCATCTCTGTTGCACCTTTACATTATACCATCAGTGAACATCGTTATCCTGGAAATTATTTTAAAACTGGTTTAGTGCTTAATTTGTGCTAGAGGGGTTCAATAATTTACACATAGTTCATTCTTTGTTACTTGCAGTGTTCTTACTTTCTTACTATTCACATCTTCACTATACAACAACTTTGATCCATTATAAAAAAAAATGAAAACAGAATTGTTGCATCTCAATAAGAATACATGAAGTATTAATGTATTATAAAAAGAGAGAATTTCCTAAATAGGAGTAAAAAAGTATTGAAATTCCAAAATAGAAGTATCATGTTTTTTATTTATTAAATAGAAGTAAATTTCTGCCAAGTTTGGCATTACTAGGCTTTAAAACATGGCATTTTTTTTCAAACTTTGCAGATTACTCCTATTCAGAGAATAAAAAACATGATACTCCTATTTTGGAATTTCAAAACGTTTTTGCTCCTATTTAGAGTAATTTCTATTTTCTTTTATAAAAAGAAAAGGCTTGTTAGGGCAAATATCGATCGATTCTTTTTTATTTAATTTGCAAGCTCAGCATTATCTTTTAATCAATAAGCGAATAGTATATGTATGAAATATGCATCATAAAGTTATTCTTATTCTTTATTTTATACCGTCCCATATATCTCCTGTTTCTTAATGTAAGATACATCCAAGTTGACTTCATTTATAAGATGATAAAAAGTAATGTTATTGTTTTACAATTCTAACACCTCAAAAGTAAAAAAAAAAGTAAAATGAAATCACAAAAGTAAAAAGATAAATGAGGAACTTAAAATTTAATAAAGTTTAACAGAAAAGTACGGAAAAGGTACTTGTGGTTGAGCTTATTTTCAGATAGGATCACGTGTTTCATTCTTTATCAAAGTAGTTCATGTGTTTGAATTTCATTATCACAAGTGGGTCACGCCATTAAAAAAGATTGTTAAAAGTAACTCTGATTTTCAAAAGTGTTCGAAAAATTAAAAGAAAAATACCGGAAGGCGCGCCTCAATAAGACGATCGCTAGACCATCTTTCTTTTTTGTTTTCAGCCACCCTTGTCACCGGAAAGTCCATCAGAAAAGTGATATTAGCGAAATCATTTTTAAAAAATAATTCAAATAGATCTGAAAAATCCAAAGGCGAAGGTGGTATGGAGGTCATCTTGACGAGGCGCACCTTTCGGTATTTTTCTTTTAATTTTTTGAACACTTTTGAAAATCAGAGTTAGTTTTAAAGGTCTTTTTCAAACGTTTTTAATGGCGTGACCCTCTTGTGATAACGGAACTCAAACACATGAATTACTTTGATAAAGAAAGAAACACATGACCCTATCTGAAAATAGGTCTAACCACAAGTACTTTTTCCGTACTTTTACCAAGTTTAATTTAAGAATATATTCATAGTTTTTGAATGAGCTAAAAAATCATCTTAGGAAATGGGAAGGAAGAAGTATATAATATTTCATCGGTCTCATAAAACTTGATCATATGGACTTTTTATTGATCAATGAATGTCAAACTTGATCCATGATGTCTTTAATGCAAATTATTTTAAATATGAAAACTATATGAAAATATTTTTTGTTAAAGCTAGTGTAATAAAATATACTTCGTAGAAGTTATAAATTTCATACAAATATATAAGTAAAATAATGACCAAAATTCATTATTATTGATTAAAGAAAGTTAAATTGACCAAGTTTTATGGAACGAAGCAAGTTCATTGAACATTGCAAAACTTGAGCCGTGTATGTGAAATGAAAATAAAAGTTGAATTGTTAAAATTTGTGCAAGAGGGAAAAATTAAGTAGAATTATGAATTGATAATTTTAAGATTTTTTGCATACTTTGTTCCACTTATAGTATATGTTCTATTAAATATCAACAAAATCGATTAAAATAAGTTTCTAACATGCAATCTTCTCTTTCTCTTTGGGAGTGCATATTGAGGCCAGCGAATCACGACTTATTTAACCATTGATTATTTCAAGTTAAAACTAACAAATAAATCAGTATGTAAAGAGGAAAGTTTTACGGTACCGTGGAAGTACCGGATGTTTCTCATTATCTATCGATACTCTCCAAGTAACCAAGGACCAAGGTCAAGCAAGTGTCTATGTCTCAGGATATTTCATACTCCCTCCGTTCCTAAACAAACTTCCAACTTTCCGTTTTCGTCCGTTCCAATTAAAACTTCCATTTTCCCTTTTTAGTAAAGAATTTGTGGTTCACAACATTTCTTACACATTTCTCTCTCCTCTGCACAACTCTCCATCACACAATACCCACTATCTTAAACTCTGTGCCAAACCTATTTGGAAGTTTTAATAGGAACGGTGGTAGTACTTCGTATTTGCAAACATTTCTAGTTAAGATCACTTGACTAGTTGACTCACATAATACTAGTGCTCCCTTCGTCCCCCTAATATTGATACGGAAGGGAGTGATGTGGTTTTTAAGAAAAGTAGAATTATGTAGTTGGTAATGAGTTGATAAAGTGGAAATAAAGTAAGAATGAATTAGAGTCACACAAATGTTACCAAATATGGTATGAGACAATAATAAAGGGACATCCAAAAATGAAAAAATAGGACAATTATAGGGGCGGAGAGAGTAAAATTTAACTTCTCATTCTTCAATTCTAAACATAGGGTGTGTTTGGTTTATAGCGTGTCAGGTTAAAACATAGACTTTTTTTTTCTCTTTAAACGCCGCATTTTGCAGTCTTTGTACCAATCCGCTGAATAATAACAAACAAGCCCATATATCCATAATCTTCATAAAATGTGCTATCGAGATTGAAGACAAAGAATACTCAGTCACAATTTAGCATTTTTGTTAATGTAACAGAAAAACAACCCACGGCATCTGCCTTTAATATAACCAAGCAACATTATAAATATTAAATTTGGAAGTTTTATTTCTAAAAATTAGTTAAGTATAATTTATTGATAAAAATGTTACTACCTCCGTTCCTATTAAAACTTCCAAATAGGTTTGGCACAGAGTTTAAGATAGTGGGTATTGTGTGGTGGAGAGTTGTGCAGAGGAGAGAGAAATGTGTAAGAAATGTTGTGAACCACAAATTCTTTACTAAAAAGGGAAAGTGGAAGTTTTAATTGGAACGGACGAAAAAGGAAAGTTGGAAGTTTATTTAGGAACGGAAGGAGTACTATAATTACTATGCATACTCACTATAAGAATAACATTAAAACAATCTAATCACTATAGTTATTATGATAGTAATAACTAAATCATACTCCCTCCGTCCCTTATAACGTTACCAACTTTCCTTTTTTGGTTGTCCCAAAAACTTTGTCACTTTCCCTTTTAATCAATCAATTTGTGGCTCCAGTTATTTATCTCCTCTGCACAAATATCTATCACACAGTTTTTACTTTATTATTCCATGTGCCAGTCAAACTTGACAAACCTTTAAGGGACGGATGGAGTACGATAATACCATCTATTTTGTCATCACCTTTATTTTGATAATATATTTGTCATTATTTCTTAAATTTAGTGAACACTCAATATGCTTAATAATTAATATAGAGTACAATTATAGAGTACATTATCTTGATCCTTGATGCAAATTCTTCTATTTAAAAAATACTCTTTTATTAATTCCTAAAATAGCAGTTGCGTTACGAATTTTAAATTTTGTAATAACAAAATAATTCCTCATTACCAAATTATTAATCAGAATTAGAAATTATAATTTGTACTTCCTCCGTCCCGAAAAGGTTTGCCAAATTTCCTTTTTTGGATGTCCCAAAAAGATTTGTCATTTCCATTTAAAGTAAGAAATATGTGGCTAAAGTTAATTCTCTTTCCTCTGCACAAATTTCAACCACACAATTTTTACTTTATTAATTCACGTGAAAGTCAAAGTTGACAAAACTTTTCGGGATGGAGGGAGTATATTCATAAGCTACATTAAAAATTATATAAAATCACAAAACTTAGAATTTAAATACACTGTATATTACTGTCCAATCGTGGTCTTAGGATATTTTTACTTGGACTGTAATTTGTTGGTCTGGTCTGGTCTGAAATGGTCTGGTCTTGTCTGGTTTCTTTGTATTTTTATAACTATCCAAGTCTGTTCTGATCTGTTCTGGTCTGATCTGGTCTAGGACCAATTACAATCTAAGTAAAAACATCCTTATTAATAATGAACATATCTAGAGAGAATAGTTATGAATTGGTCATTCTTGGTTGGGCGGAGCTTGGAAGAATCATTATAGATGAACGCCATTAACAGGGGATAACAGTTAACAGCGGAGAGTTAGGAAGTTAAGATTTCTTCTGCTACAAGTTTCATTTAAATTAAGAATTCAAATAGAAGAGATGGTGATGCGCTTCTGCACGTACGCGAATTCTACACGTATACTCACACGTCAACCCCATTCGCACCTTAACCGACTTCCTAAACTCCTACTTTCATTCATTTCTTCCCCATTAAAACCACCCTCTATTTTCTGCATTTCTCATCCAGAAGAGAAGAATCGATCACAGAGTAATCATGTCCGGATCTCTGTACCCAAAAATCTCCGCTCAATCAAACCCAGAACCCAATTCTGGGTTCGAATCCTCTGAAGAAGTGATCATCAGAATCCCAGGATCCATGGTCCATTTGATCGACAAAGACCGGAGCATCGAACTGGCCACCGGAGAGCTCACCGTCGTTCAGCTCAAACAGGGCAACAACGTTGTCGCCGTCCTCGCTCGTGTCGGCCAAGACATCCAATGGCCGCTGGCCAAAGACGAGGCCACAGTCAAACTCGACGACTCCCACTACTTCTTCACTCTCAGAACTCCGGCGGGGGACCATTCGGACGACGAAGAGGGTGAGATCGGGGTCGAATCTTCAGAGAATATGCTGAATTACGGATTGACCATCGCGGGTAAGGGGCAGGAAGGGAAGCTGAGAGAGCTGGACGGGGTACTGGAAAAGTTCAGCGCGTTCAGGGTGGAGAAGGCGGCGGGGACGGCGGTGAGGGGGTGGGGAGTTGAGGCTAAGGATGTCTCTCCGGCGGATATGGAGAAGAAGGAGAAGAGAGATGCGGTGGAGAGGAGTTCCGCGGCCTACTGGACCACCCTGGCTCCGAACGTAGAGGATTACAGTGGAAGCGTGGCGAAAATGATAGCCGCCGGGTCGGGTCATCTCGTGAGAGGAATCTTGTGGTGCGGGGATGTGGCGGTGGATAGATTGAACTGGGTTCATGAGGTTTTGATGGAGAGGATGGCCGGGAACGGCGGCGCCCCCGCGGAGATCAGCCCAACCGCCTTAAAAAGGGTGAAAAGGTATTGCTTAAGACCTTATGACAGTTAATGAGTTTTTTGAGAAAGATGTGTTTCAAACATGTCATCTTCTTTTTAGAGTGTAACAGTGATGTTAAAATGGGGTAGAAAAGTTTAAAACTCCTCTGGCTTTTTGTTTACCCTGTTCGAGGTGATGATGAGTACTACGTATTAGTTAAGCATGACAAAGATATTAATCAAGGTGACAACTCCGGTACCTATTTAAAAAATGGGGTATAGTACCTACCACTCATTTGTTTGGTTCAAATCATTACATCATTTTTCATTTAGATGATTTAAGTATGAGTGACAACTCCGGTACCCATTTAAAAACTAGAGTACCGTACCTACCACTCACTTGATTGATTCAAATCATTACATCATTTTTAATTTAGATTTAAATAATTCAACTACATCATTCTTATTGGTCCATGTGCATAAAGGTATGGTACCTTAAGGGTACCATAGAATCTACCTTAAATAATTCAACTACATCATTCTGAATTGGTACATATGGACAAAGTTATGGTAACCTTAAAGGTACCATAGAATCTACATTTAATTAAAGGGTTCACATGTTTATATTTGATCTACTAAACACAGAAATACTTGGGAAAGCGTGTTTTTTTATCCGGAAACTCTATGAAAACTTTTTGAGAATTTTTCAAAGAGTTCCTTTTCATAAACACTCAGAAACTCTATGGAAACTCTTTAGAACTTTTCGAACAGATACTTTTCATATGAAAGATATATGAAAGATACATGTTTCCGTTTCCCTCGAAATTTTTACATTTCCGTGCAACATAGTATTCCATCGAAACTGATGGAGTTAGATGAGTTTCGTAGAGTGAAGAAGATGACGAAGATGTCGGAGAAGGTGGCAACGGGCATTCTCGCTGGGGTGGTAAAGATGTCCGGAGTGTTCACAAATTCCATTGCGAGCTCTAAAGCTGGCCAGAAATTCTTCAGCCTTCTCCCCGTGGAAATCGTTCTTGCCTCCTTGGATGGATTCAGTAAGTACATCCCTTATTACCTTATACCAAGTATTTCCATATATTTGTCTTTTTCTTTCATCTCTTGCAGCTTTTTCTTGTAACATTTTCCATATCAACTTCACCTTGACATTGAAACAGACAAGGTATGCGATGCCATTGAAGCGGCTGGCAGGAATGTGATGTCCACAACATCCACTGTCACAACTGGTCTTGTTTCGCATAGGTAAACACTTACTTTTGATCAAATTCTACTCTTAAACGTACGGAAAATTTTAAAATAGGATTAAGAGTGTTTTCTTCTATAAATATTGAAGAATTTATTCAATCCTATTAAAAGAATAAAAGGATAAAATATAGTAAATTTTGTTATGATTAATTTTTCCCAAATTTTATCAACAATTTCATCTTTAAGAAATATGTGTTTAAGTTGTAATGCAAGTTCATCCTAACTCAAAAATATATCTAGATACGACACGAAATATATGTGAGTTAATTATTAACTACGGGCAGGCACGGGGAGCAAGCGGCGGAGGTGACTAAAGAAGGGTTCGATGCGGCGGGGCATGCCATCGGAACTGCTTGTGCCGTCTTTAAGATCAGAAAGGCTCTTAATCCCAAGTCCTCCCTAAAACCTTCATCTTTTGTGAAAGCCGCCGCGGCTGAGGCCAAGTCCAAGTCCAAGTCCAAGCCCAAGTAATTTGCTACATTGGATTGTGTTGTTTCTTTAATTAATTTTCCAGCCCTATAGTACGTACGCCTAGATTAATAATGGCGTGGGTTTTAGGTACTTTTTTTATGATCTATTTCTGATATGTAATAATGTTCGATCTCCATCCAAGTGCAATACAAGAAGAATTCCATGTGTGGCAAATTAATGTGACCACTTTGAGAGGTGAGAAAAAGGGGGTAAATTGGTGCATGTATGTCTCTGGGCCATGTCAAATTAAAGTTCACGAATATAAAGGAAAGATGCATGAAAATTGTAACTTAAAAACGATGTATGTGTTCGGTCCAATACTACGCATAATGTTTGTATATTTATGGTCTTGGGTCATACCTTCTACTAATTCACAGGTCATGTTGTCCTCATAACAAAATCGGATCGGGAGCCTCTGACTTGCTTTTGAGCCAGGTAGAGACGTAGAGTGTCTTGCTTCCGGACAGTCGTTCGATCGTAAATTCAACGAGCGTTGGGGTCCACATTTTCGTTGATCTCGATGTCGTGCTCGTCGCTGCCGGAATGTCCGATGCGCAAGGGACCCTGCCGTGCGGCAGATGATCCATCAATTAAAAACCAACTTCAAACATTATAGCACTCATTCCACATTCGACAAGTTAATTGGAGAGAGTTGAGTGAGATTTAAATTGCTACAAGTTGCGGTATGCACATCATTGGCTCTTACGGATTATATAAGAGGGTTCATGTTTGATTCTACTTTTGACTTTTGAGGAGTGATTAGTTTTAAGACCATATAAAAAATGTCGATAGTGTTGGAGAATGAAAGTAAATTTGAAAAGTAGAAGTTAGAGTTTAGAAAAAAGGACTTCAAAATGAATGAATCATGAACACTTATCGGATCGCTACTTTTAGCATTTTCAACTTATATTTTATTCTGGGCTTTCAACTTATATTTCTTTTTACTGCATTTTCTACTCTTAAATGTCAATGTTCTTGATAGCAACTAGTTTTGAACTTGACCTCCTCCTTAGGGTATGTTTGGATGTTTGGAGGGAAGGGGAGGGGAAGACTTTTGGAGGTATGTTGTTGGAGGGGAAAGGGAGAGAAGTGTGAGAAAGCCTTCTTTATATTTGGGAGTAAAAAAAATTGGAAGAAGAAGGTTTTGAAAGAATTATAATTAAAATCACTTTGAGATATGACGAATTCAAATCATTGAGCTGATATTCATTTTTAATTTAGCTTAAATTACCATCTTGTTAATTATCCTCCGTACCCCTCCAAATTAGGGGAACTTAAAAACTAAGCACTTGGAGGGTTTTGAAGGGTTACAAAAGCCCTCCAAAATCATACCCTCCAATTTTTTAAACTCTCAAACATGAAATGAAAGGTCATAAACCCCCGTTAACCTTCCCCTCCCCTCCAAAACTCAACTGGCAAACACACCCTTAGGTGTCACATGATGTCGTTGAATCATAAGTTGTTTGACACATAGTTTCATAAAAAACTTTTTGTCTTATTGAATTTTGTCAACTTTCCTTTTTTATTTGTCTGAACAACTTTGTCTTTTCCGTTTCAAAATAATGAATTTGTGATGTTCCTTATTTCTCTAATCTCAACTACACGGTTTTTACATTTTTTATTCAACACTCAAATCAACGTAGGCAATGCCTAATAAGACAGAGGGAGTATCACTTTTAACTTTTTTGAATACAAAACCGGAAAATGTTTTGTTAAGCAATTAAGAGCCTATTTGGTAATATTGTTTTTTGACTTATCAGACTTATCAACTACCTTTTTCATCAAACACATAACTTTTGATTTCATGCGCTGAATTGTGTAATAATAAGAAATGTAAGATTGAAGTTACTTTTCTAGTTGTATGGGCTGAAATTACTATAGATGACCATTTTAACTATTTGTATATACTCCGTATAATTTTATTTTATTTTACTGATAAAATATATTTTAAATATTATTTTTTTCATAAATCACCAAAATCAGCCAATTCAATCTTTTATATTATCAAACGGGTTAAGTGAAAACACTCGTTATAGTGAATCAGAAAAGTTCCCCAAACTCACACGGCCTACCACATACCTTATCAATTTTAAATTCTCTCTCCATCCAATAACTTGCTGTCATGTGGTAAATAATTCTTTTTCTATGAAATGTTATAACTCTTTAAGTTATGCTCCGGTTTTCTACAAAATATATCCAATTAAATAAACTTTTATAATCTATTATATGACACCCATTTACATATGTAAATTTTGAAGAAATATATCGATGGAGTATATGGTCCGGGAACCCCCGGCCCACAGACTGCTACTACTCCAGCGAAGGCCCAACAGGCTCAGAAGGCCCAACAGGCCCAAATCACAGCGCCCAGAGTACCAAGCAGCCCGCACTACGCGCCAGGGGTGCCTTCGGCCCCCTGGCCGAAGGCTCTAAACTCTCACAGAACGGGTTTCTCAAGCAAACTAAGAAACTGGGAGAAAACGGCGAAAACAGTAGCCCTCGGCACTGTGAGCCCTCGGCACCAGGGTGCCATCGGTCGGAGGAGCCCTCAGCTACTGCTCTATAGCCGAAGGCATCTCACTCGACAAGATATCCGCCTCACATGCGACAGATCACCGTACCGTGTACAGACGTCCCATCCAACAGCCGCATTAAATGCGGCCACATGCGGCTGCCAGCGCCAACCAGTGAGGTGACCCCTCGGCCAATGAGCGCTTGACACGTGTCCCTGTCCGGCATTTATTGCTACTATAAATAGCACCCCATTTCCCCATTTGTAACCGCGCTGAAAACGGCATTCATACTAAATACACTCTCTCTCTACATTTACTTGCTTACTCTGACTTCTCTCTAAGTTATTCCCCGCAATAACCCTTCGGATACATACCCCCGGGTAGACTATCCATCATTTGGTGCTCTCGTTGAGAGGTCGAACAATCAAGTAAGAAACCCTCCCCCTCGACCAAACACAAAACACTAGCCCTCTATCAAAATGGTGAGGACAACACGTGCCAACTCAAAGAACGTAGAAGACAAGAACCTGGCCCTCGACGACGTCAACGCCCCCGAAGCCTCTCACAGGGCTCCCGAGGGCGGTGTCATCGCCGGGCTGGAACAGGCGGCTGTCGACCTACGCCTTCAGATCCAACAAAATGCCCCCGATGCCCGCCTCGGCATCGAGGCCAAAAAGAAAAACCGGAGCGATGACCAAGTCAGCCCTCCGGTTCTCACCATCGACGTGCAATCGGCGCTCTCCGCCTTCATCCAAACGCTCACCCAGAACCCGGGTGCCTTCGGCACCCTGGCTCCAGCTCACCCTCAGGTTGGGGAAAACATCATACTTCCCTCTCTGCCACACCCCTTCGGAAATCCCACCCCTCGGGTGAGAAATGACGAAGGGGTGGTGGCCCAAGATACGTCCTCCCAGGAAGTTCAGTCCCGGGACCGCCATAATGACAACAGGGAAAGGCCCCGTACTTCCGCCCTCAACCGGCTCGGAGGAGGGCCAGACCGCCGAGGGGTCCAAGACCGCCTCGGAGGAAAGGCACTCCAAAGGCCCCAGGAAAGTGGAGGGTCTGTCTCCAGGGCAGACGAGGAGCGTCCCCCTCGGGACAAAGGCAAGGCACCCCTTCATGCCAATGATGCTCGCCACCAGATCAACCAGGCCCACTCGGCCCGTGTTCGTTCGCAGGGGGCGGAGACCCTCCCGAAGGATCCCCGGGACGAGATTATTGCGGCCCTCCAACGCCGGCTTGACGAGATGGAGTCCAACAAAGCTCACGCCACCACCTCCATGTTAGTATATATGTCCTAGCGACAATCATTTCTTTAAAGACATATGTACTTGATCACATTTAGTTTTTATATTTGATATATACACGGTATTACACTTTATGAATGATTGTTTTCGATTGTCAATGTTTTATTCATAATTGTGTTCCCTTGGATTTATGTTGTCAATAAGTAAGTGGGAGCTTATATGATATAACATAAGGTCCTAAAATAGCCCCAATCAATGATCATCAAGAATGGGATATTGATGATATACGATAAGATTGGTATGTGGACTGCATCATACTTTTAGAAAGTATAGTTGATCTCACGACTATGAGTTCCTGTAATTCATGATGGTCACATAGATATTTTAGAGAATATTGGCATACCCACCGAGAAACCATTTGATAAGTTCTATTCATGTGTCTATGGGATTATCGGCGTATAGAGTAGTGTAATAGTCCTCCGACTTGAGGTCAATACGTACTACATGTGCGGAGTGATGTACTTTGACCATGACCAACGCTTGCACTCCAATCGGGGTAGATACGGCATGTGTTGGGTGCATCACGAAGCACATGGAGTAGTAGTTGAGCCAAGAAAGGATTCATTCCTCATAATAGATTAAGAGAGAACATTCTACTTCTCATATCTAGATGGATCATAAAGTCATTGGCCAATGCAAAGATATATTCGTTTTGGATATCGAATATGATCGTTATGGATCATCTAGAAAGATTGAGAGACAGAGACTGAGTTATTGGGATAGACACTATATCATGTTCTAGACTTAGTTGAATGTTCGCTGAATGAAAGGACCGTATCACTATGAGCTCTATATTACAGGGAGTTTGTATAGTCCTCGCAAACGTCCTTATATATTAAGTTTGTCTGGAGAATCGTTTGGGGATTCGCTAAGACCTTAATTTGATTAGTGCTTAATATATAAGGCCCTATGGGTCACACAACAAGTGATTATACCTTCCGATTGAATTGTTTGAAGGAATTAAATATTATTAATTGGATTAAATAATATTTAATTCGTAATACTGAAAATGAATTAAATATTAATTAGATTAAACATATTTAATTCATGAAGCTGAAGGAGAGTTCTATTTGATAGAATTAATTAAGTAAGATAAATTAGATTTATCATACTTAAATAAGATGTATTTATTATTAAATAAAGTAGATATTTTCTTTTGTAATTTGGAATTAAAAGAAAAGTAAATAAAATAAATATTAATATATAATAATTAGAAAGTGGCGTGCAGCCACCTCTCAATTATTATTATTATTATTATTTTGTTTTGTTTTATCTACTTATTTAATTAATTAGGAGTATTGGTCCTAGTAGGATTAGAACTCATTAATTAGAAAGACTTTCATTGTGATTGGGAGACTAGTTTCGAACTAGTATAAATACATCCTTCTCCTTCATAATTTGTAGACCAGTTTTCAGATTCAGTATTACCAGTTTATTTCTCTGCGAAGAGATTTCCTAGCCTTTCTCTTAGGGAGATCTAACCGTTCTTTCGGGAAGGAGAAATCACGTGGATACCTAAGGTGAAGGATTATCACCGCTAGGCTGGAAGATCTGTAAGTTCTAACTCAGATCTGTTATTATTGTAATATTCGTTGTTTTGTCATAATCAGGAAAGATCTGTTTGGGAAAATTTTAAACTTCCGCTGCTGTACTTTCGAGGTACATTACATCAATTTCCCAACAGTGGTATCAGAGCCAAACTGATTCTAATGACATTATACGAATTTTTGATAGAGATTTTCGTAGGTAAAATATATTTTCATTATTCTGATTTGCGATCAAAGTTAGATTAATATTTGGTTTAGAACATGAATGATATTATCTGAATTTAGAATTTTTAATCTGGAATTCTTCCGATTTGTGATCGCATCCTCTCCTCTTCAACGAATTGCGATTCCCAAAACGTCGAGATTTTTGGCGAGCATGGCTACAGTTGATCAACGATGATACAATCACTTTGGCGTAGAGTCGTAGAAGAAGGAAGCTTCATTATCAATAAATCTAGAGCTTCAGGGAGATCTCAATCTTCAATTTTTGTTTCTCCCAGCAAGCTAGACCACCATTAATGGCGGATTGAGCTTGCTTCCTCTAATTTCTGTCTGTTTGCAACGATGAAGAAAGGCAGAACAATCAGATGGAATTCCTATGGTCTGACAGATACGCAGGCAGCTGCAGTTCATCCGATGAACGTCTCGCGAGTCCGACGGGTTCGGCGGAATTCCTGGCCTCCATCGTTTCCCCTCCGTATTGGGAACTTATTTCTTTTGTTTGACTTTGAGAAATAGAATTGGACTTGGGTTTTTCGTAGTTTGTTTGTTCGGTGTTGTTTTTTACCAAACTCTCAGGGAATTGCTTTTGGCAGTTCTAAAGTTTTTTTAAAAATGGAGTATTAACGATTTGAAATTACAATTAAGCATTAAAATTGTTCTTGTTAATTAGATTAATTATCTTTGAGATTTAGA